GTACCTACCCACTAGCCCGGGCTGCTGCGCTCCCTCAAACCCCTTCCTTAAACCAGAAGGGCTCTATTTAAAAAACAGGTCTCTCGCTGGAGTCCAGACACCTCTTTCTTCCTGCTATTTGAAAACCAAGACGAAGAAACAGGGGCACTGGGTGGTGCAGAAGGCCGGACACGGCCTCCTGCTTAGCAGGTAAACACCTCAATTTGAGGGGCAGGGGGACCCAGAGCATCTCCACCAGGCTGCCAGCGAGCCCAGCCAGGGACCCCGCGCCTGCCGCAGGACTCCGAACACGCAGGTGATGTCTGTGCTCGTTCAGCTTCTTGCAGGGAGCTGCAGCAGCAGCAGATGGAGGAAGCACTCCTCTCCCACCAGGTCAGCTGCCTCCCCAGGTGCAGAAAACCCTCGACTGGCTGCAGGGGGGGGCAGTCACCCCACGGCGAGATGCCCAATTAATTCCCCAGCATGCAGCAAGCACTCTGAAGCTCTGGTGGGCGTGAGGAATTGCAGAACCCACTCGCGCTGGGAGGACGAAGGCAAGACGCAGACGCGCAGAAAGCCTGAGCTTTGAAAGCCTCCAAAGGCTCCTCACTCCCCAGAGATTAAGGGAGGAAAGCAGCCGAAGACCTTTGTAAATCTCAGCTTAAGTTCTTCTGAGAGACTCGAGCTCTCTTCTGCTAAGCTTTGGCCACGGCCAGGACAGGTCACGCTCCGGGGCAGCGTGGAGGGGCAGCACAGGAGGCTGCTGGCGACAGCCCAAGGTGTCCAGCTCCGATCGCCTGATCCCCAGGAATCCTGCCCATTCGGTGTGCAGGGCTGGGGAACACGTGCTCCACTTCATTGCCTCAAACGACTGTAGCAAGGATGGGACAGGGAAATTCAAAAAACATTCAGGGGTCTCCAGAAAGCTTGGCAGCTCCTCTTGTTTCACAGCAGAGGCTGTTTGCTACTAGTGAAAGTCCCTTGCGCAGGCACCAGCCATTTCAAATCGGGCTGTAGCCAGACCCACAGCTGCAAACACTGACAAGGGGAGGTGCGGACAGCAAGTCACCAGCTGCCTCAGAGCACTGCCGGTAGACAGGCCTGCTCCAGCCAGCACAGATGCCGGTACCCAGGCCTGCTCCAGCCAGCACAGAGCAGCTCCAGGCACAGCGAGGGAGCTGGGGGCTGCCCCGCTGGCGGCACCCCCAGGCCGGTCCTTCCCTGCCTGCGTTACCTGCCATGCAGGTCCCCTCCCGGCAGCAGCGCGGGGCGGCTCTCTTCCTCCTGCACCCAGCCGCAGTTGGACATGGCGTAGTGCAGGATGGCTTCCGTCACTGTCTGCGAGCCCTGGCCTTGCACGCACGCCTCTATCTCGGGTACCGAGAGCTGGCTCTGCAGGAAAAGGTGCAGCCGGCTGTCGGAGAGGAGGACCACGTTCTGCACAACCCTGCGCACAGAGAGAGGAGGGTGAGTGAGGCAGGTGCCCAGAGCACGCTGAGCCCTGTCCCACCAACGCCTCGTGCGCCCCACACCACCAGGATGACCGGACAGCTCTAATGCCACCTCACAGCCAGCATCTTCTAAGCAAGACCGGAGCAGCGTGTCCTCTCCCTCCATCCAGCCCTCCCAAATGCTCTACTCACTTCTCCAGGAACTGCTGCAGCCCCTGTCTCCGCTTCTCGATGAACTCATCCGTGCTGCCCACGAAGAAGGTGGATTTCCCGGGCAGCTCTGGGACTGGCCTGCAGGCACAGAGCAGAGGCAGCAGTTCAGGGTCAGATCACCCCAGCAAGGAGACACAGGGGCACCGTGGCAGCAGCAGTCAGGACCCCGCTTTGTGCAGAGCTGGAGCTCTGGAGCTCAGGTATCCCGTGTTCGAGTCTGGGGTTTCTACCCACATCTGTTCCGAGTCCACGTGGGTCTCCCAGGGCAATGGGAAACGGTGTCTGGCTGCAGGAGGGGGAAAGGAGGGAGAACAAGGCATGCTTACACCAAGCCAGCATTCTTCTGGAGCTGCCTCCTCAGCCACACGAATTCACGGTACCGGCGCCGCACGCATGAGGTCTTGGCAGTAAAGGCCTTGCTGTTGGTCTGCAAAAAAAAAAAAACCCACCATGGAAATAATCCAGGTGATTGAGGGGCGGCAAGGCAGAGGAGGGCAGGATCTCGCCTGCCCAGACCCCTGAGCTCAGTGACTAAGGGATCCCCTCCAAGCACTGGGCTTTAGGGAGCGCTGGGGGAGCTGGCGCTGCAGGAAAAGGTGCAGCCGGCTGTCGGAGAGGAGGACCACGTTCTGCACAACCCTCTGTGCAGAGAGAGGAAGGTGAGTGAGGCGGGCGCCCAGGAGCACGCTGAGCCCTGCCCCACCATCGTCTCACGTGCCCCACACCACCAGGGTGACCATCGACAGCTCTACTGCCACCTCGCAGCCAGCAGCGCCTGGAAAACCTGAGCAGGCTCCAGGGGACAAGCTGGGTCTCAGACCCGCACGGAGACAGCGCAGAAGGAGGGATGGGCTGCTGAGGGTTCCCCCTTCACGGCTCCTTCCATCCCCGCTCAGCACAGCCAGACATGGCCGGACAACTCCGCTCACGAGCCTCACAATACGGCACGACCGGGCTCTGCAGCTCACCCCTGTCCCTCAGCCGCAACTCACATGGAGGAAGATTTTATAATCCACATAGGAGTTCCAGGAGCCTTCGTTCTGCACCCGGGGGTCCTGAACACGCACCGTGGTCAGCTCCTACGGCACAAACGCTGCCTGAGCGTGGGGAGGCAGCGCTCACCGCCCCGCGCCAGCGTCACCCCCTTTGCAGGGCTCAGAGGGGCTCCCAGGTACCCACGACCACACTGGCTTGTCTGGCCATCCTGCCCCAGGGGCAGCTCAGCCACCTCCAGCCTTTCCCATCCCTGTCACCAGCGGCCCCTCAGCTCTGCCCCACGGACCCTGCCCGGCGTTCAGCACCTCTCACCCCTCGAACACAGCGCTCGGCCAAGACCACCCGCTCCAGCGCTGCCAAACCCCAGCCAGGAACAGACAAAACCCGTGTCAGAAAGGGTCTTACTTCTTCTCGGTTCTCCAACATCCTAGAGCCAGAGCCCAGCGGGAAACATCTGTACAGAGAAAAAAGGATTTAGTAAGACAATATCAACACACCAGGGCCTTCCACATACTCTGCATCCCCCCAGGCACCTCACACCTCTGTCCCATTCAGCAGGCACCTCTGCAGCCCCCACATCCGCACCCAGCTGCCCTCCCTGGTCCTCTCCCCTCAGGCACCATGAAGTAAAGAGGATGCATTCAAATGCAGCAGCCCACAGGGCAGAAAGCATCCAGCATTCATCTCCCATGTGCTCCTGAGGCAATGTGGCCCGTTGGGCTCTCGCTGAGGTGTGCGCTGTGACCAGAGCCGGAGCCTGCAGCACCTCTTTCCTCCACGGCTCCTCTTCAGGTCACCGCTGCGCACAGAGAGGCACTGGGGTCCTGCAGCCTTCTGGAACAGCACTCAAAAATCCCCGGATCACAGACAGAGGTGAGCAGGGCTCCCAGCTCAGACAGGCTGTAACCACCGGAGAATGGGATGGGGCAGCCGGCTGCTCCTGCTGAGCTGCCTGCCCTCCTCTCCCACGGCACGTCCCTGCTCCCGGGCAGATAACGGGGTCTCCGGGAGAGCTTTTCCCCCCAGCGTAACTCCCGTTAGCCGGGAACGGCCTCCTCGTTGCACAGCACCGAGACCCCAGGTCCCCAGTTTGCTCCTGCAGAGCCAGAACCGGCAATGCAGGAGGGGGACACGGTGGAAGAGCCCAGCCCCACTGCCCGCACGGGCAGGTTTGCACTGAAATACCAGGGGAGCCAGTTCAGCTGGGGAGGAGAAAACCCTGCTTTTGTCACAGTTTCCTTCTCCTACAGGCCTCCCTCTCCTCTCGCTGCCTGCCCAGCACGAGCTCGGCTGGGCTGTCCAAGCAGGGGAAGCAGCCAGCCCGCACCAGGACCCCACTGCCCCTCGCCAGAGGAAACCTGCTTTTCTCCTGTGTAGACCAGACCCGCTCCACAGCTGCCACCTCAGTAAGTCTCCCACTAGCACCAGACACAGATATACCGTTTCTCTCTGGCTCTTTCGCAAGTCACCTGAATAAGCAGCAAACTCGGTACCAGATTTCCCCACCCTGCTAGGTTTCGTGTCTGCATTGCGACTGCTCTCCCTTGGGTCCCTCCCTAAC